ACTGACCCTATCGAATGGGCGGAGTGGGTTGGCGTAAGGTTGATAAATAATAACGCCATTACGCATTCCGCGTACACCCAGTTTGTAAAGGTTCCGGCTGTCAACGTAAGTTACTGGGTTTCGTCGGCAAAATATGCAAACCGCGGCGATAAATCACGCGCCAGAAACGAGTGAAAGCTGAATGAACGGCTAAAGCGAGTTTCCTACGCCAGAGGAGGAATACCCAGCTTGCGGGACGCCTCGCTCAGAGCCGGGAGCCGGCCACACTCATTCGGATCGACTGAATGAGGCCGTGGACCCTGCCTAACCGAATCGGAAGGCGTTCAGGCGTCTTCCGTGGGTGGGTGGCGCCATTCAAGCCAAACCGGCCCAGGTGGGACCAGGATGGGACTTTCACCGCACGCGGTCGACCGGTGTGCGGCGGCTCCACCCTCTGGCCGCATACCACGCTGGCAGGCCGTTACGGCGGTGGGCTCAAATCTGCCAGCTCATGACGCCAGAAAACACGGAGCTTCGCGGGCGCGTGTGCCACGCTCGCACTGCACTGCAGCTCATAGTCGATGGTGCCCTTTGTTACACATTTTTTCTGAGGATTTGTACATATCCATCTGCGAGCCGTCAGCATTATGGCGAAGAGTCTGTAATTAGCTTCCGACAAAACGTTGACATTAGCACCGGCGTGGGCTGATAGTTCGTCTTAGAAAAGTGGGATTCCGTAAAAGAAAGTGAAGCAATGCCTCTCGGACCTGTCTGGAAAGGAAATATAAGGCGATAAAGTAAGGAGATGGCCTTTCTCGGCGCCTTCGATTGTCTTCCCAGGATTGGCTTCGGGACTTTCTAGCATCTGATCACGTGCCGTTACTGGGCCCTACAGAGCAGAGCTGGCGTGTTCTGAGAGGTTGGTAACACTTGGAAACGTCAGACTTTGGAAGACAAGTACATAAATCTTTGGGACGATGTGTCTACACCCCGGCATGCTCGCTTGCAGCTCACGGGTGTGCGTGCAGCGGCGCCACCATACGCGCCATCCGAACGCCATCACCCGTCATCAGGGCGCCATCATCCGTCATCTGGGCGCCGCTCCTCTCCTGCATGCTCCCGGAGTGCGCCGCCCCGCCGCGCGTGAGTCACGATCTGGCGCGCGGGTGCGCCACACTGACCGCGATCACTGCGGCGGCAGCAGCAGCCGGCCGGGCCGGGCGGGCCGTCGTCGACACGCGCGCTCAGCACGCGCCCAACCGGCCGGCGCTGCGGCAACACCATCCCTAATGACACGCATCAGCGCAGTCAGGGCAATTGGGTCATAGATCAAATAAAAGTTAAGTGACAACTAACAAAAGGGTGTGGAAAAAGTCCTGCGGTCCTATTCATAAATAAAAAGCCTTCGTCCGGCCCATGTGATGACTGAGGGGCACATTTGTTGTTTTCTAAAAGCCGGTTGCTGGGACCGTTGCCGTCTAGGCCTGATGACAAGCGATGGGTTTTGCCCCTGTGAATGCCATTTTCCGCCATTTCATTTCATTGCCCCGCCAATGCCATTTCATGTCTGGAATTATAAAAGTCCCTGTCTCATGATACCGCGTGACAATGGCTACGACGCGCTGTGTGGGAAAAGCATTGTGGCGTTATGCAGGGGGGTGGAAAGAGCACTGTGGTGCTGTGCGTTTTGGTGGGGGAAGCACCGTAGTGTTTTGCGTAAGATGGAAGAGACACTGATGCTGTGCGTCATGTAGCAGAGGCACTGTGGTATTGTGCGGTATGTGGAAGAAGAGCTGCGGTGCTGTGTGCCATGTGAAAGCATCTCGGCGAAGGTGCTTAATTATGCAAGTTCCGCGCTGGTATTACTCACGTAATCCACAACGACACGGCCACTGTACTGGCGCGAGTTAATGAAACCGTTGCCAGACTATGAATCAGGTACAAACCGAGCGGAGAGCGCGACCGCAGAATCCGGCAGGCACCGGGGTCCGGCTCCGCGGCCGGACCCGCGCCGGCGGCTCTCCTCCCCTCCTCCTGACCCCAGCGGCAGTGTCCAGGCTCGTCATCGCAGGAATCATGGGAAGCCACACCAGTACCCGACAGACCGTAGCGCTCACGTGGGTAAAATCCAGTTCAATGTGCCTACTGCCCAGGTACTGCCCAGGTACTGCCCAGGTACTGAGCTCGCAACCCAGGTACTGACTCGACGATGCAGTGCGCGGCGGTGAGCACCCAGCTGGGGCCGATCAGGGTGCCGCCGCAGTGCTGGCTCAGCAGCTGGCCCGTGTGCGGGTTCCGCTGGTGCAGCGACACCTGCCAGGGCCACTCGCCGTGTACCGCCCGCTCTCCGCCCACGATCCGCTGCGAGCGATGGTCACCGCTCCGCCGGCCGCACTCTGTAGGGGACAGGCCGACCAGCGTCAGGGCAGAGCATACAGGATCATAGACAGTGTCGGATCACTGCTCCGCCGGCCGCACTCTGTAGGGGACAGGCCGACCAGCGTCAGGGCAGAGCATACAGGATCATAGACAGTGTCGGGTCACCGCTCCGCCGGCGGCACTCTGCAGGGGACAGGCCGACCAGCGTCAGGGCAGGGCACACAGGATCATAGACAGTGTCGGGTCACCGCTCCGCCGACCGCACTCTGTAGGGGACAGGCCGACCAGCGTCAGGGCAGGGCACACAGGGGCACATATACAGACAGACGACAGTGCCGGGTCATTGCCCCGCCAGCCGGGCGCTGCCGGAGCGTCAGAATGGGTTAGTGTGGCCCGCACACATGGACACACGCGGATGTAGAGACACACACTGTCGGTGCGTGCCGCGTCACTGCTCCGCTGACCGCGTTCTGCTGGGACGAACAGGGAGAGTCCGGGCAGCACGGCGGGAAGAGCACCGGAAAGCGTCACAGAGCGCGCAGACTCAGATACAGATACAAGTGGCATGCAGGGCTTCAGTGTGCAGCTCACTGCGACGCCACCTGCGCTCTGCCGTGGACGGCCAGAAAAGCCAGAAAAGAGATCAGACATGGAAGCGCACAAAACGCGCAGGAGGTGCTTCAAGCGTCACATTGGCGAGACGAACATCGCAGGTGGCTGATACTCCAAAGGCACACAATTCCAGCGGAGAAGTTCGCGTGCAAGGTGGTCTCGTATTGCCTACGGGACCTGCCAAGGATGTTATTGCGCAGTTTAGCTTTCTCGGTTGGCCGATACCGCAGGTCATCAGCCGAGATATTCTGTGTCGTGTCTGCGGTCAGGACGGCATGAAGCTATGCTTCAGGGCATGGTGAACCCTTCAGCGACCACTCAGCGAGCTGGCAGGCTTGCCGGAAGGGCATCGCACATCAGTCTAACAAACGTCACAGAAGAGAACCTCACGGCACACGGCTCATGAGCGTAGAGATCCGGGGCTGCCACAGTATTAGGACGGGGGTCGAAATCAGCTCAGATCAGCTTGGCGTGGGTGCTGATCCCAGACACACACGCAATCGATGCGTTCGGACTAACGTTGACATAACAATAATGCTCATTAAAGGATGTCACCAGCTACCCGCAGCTTTTCGTCCAGTCACGAGTGCCAAAACAAAATGTCACGTCCATTCACGTTCAGACGTGGCATTCACAAAACAACGCGACCGTTTCCTGATTTTACGCCACCCGCAGCATAATAGCACAAACTTAATTCATTTCTAAGCTCAAAATAAGGTGTCGGATATAAGAAGCATCAGACAAATTTTTCTATTTTGCACGACTAGACGACCAGCATGCGCATCGCACCGCTTACGAGCAGTAAGTCTGGCAGCCCGGCGCAGCGTCGGATCTTTTCTACTTCATAAATTGTTGGAACGTCGCATACCCGCAGGATACAGGCTCACCAAATCGCTTGGGAGTGATTCGTAGCTAGCTTTTCTTCACAACATTTTTTTCTCGCTTGCTTGTCCTTCATAACCGGTAGTTAACAATTTTTTACAATCAAAATCGCAGATTCATTCAGTTTTGTTTCCAATTACTATGACACATCTTTCTTTCAGATAGATCACGCCTCCTCTACGGCGCATTCTGAATGCAGAATGAGTCATCATAATTTTTTAATATAACCTTTTCGCCACATCCGTTGACACGGCGGCATGACACGTGACAGAGGCTTGTGACGTGATGCCGTGAGCGCGTGAGAACCCCCCTCCCCACTGCGTGACGCACGGGCCGAACGCCTGTCTGGCAGGTAGCTCAAAACAGCGCGGTATTTGGCCGAGCGGTTGGCATACAGAGATCACGCCGGACGCCGAGAGCCGCGACTATTCCCTCTGGAGGCAGAGCCGCGACCATTCCCTCTGGAGAGAGAGCCGCGACCATTTCTTCTGGAGGCAGAACCGCGACCATTCCGCCCGGAGGCAGAGCCGTGACCATTCCACCCGGAGGCAGAGCTGCGACCATTCCCTCTGGAGGCAGAGCCGCGACCATTCCCTCTGGAGATAGAGCCACGACCATTCCCTCTGGAGGCAGAGCCGCGACTATTCCCTCTGGAGGCAGAGCCGCGACCATTCCCTCTGGAGGCAGAGCCGCGACCATTCCCTCTGGAGAGAGAGCCGCGACCATTCCCTCTGGAGGCAGAGCCGCGACCATTCCATCCGGGAGGCAGAGCCGCGACCATTCCCTCTGGAGGCAGAGCCGCGACCATTCCCTCTGGAGGCAGAGCCGCGACCATTCCCTCTGGAGGCAGAGCCGCGACCATTCCATCCGGGAGGCAGAGCCGCGACCATTCCCTCTGGAGGCAGAGCCGCGACCATTCCACCCGGAGGCAGAGCCGCGACCATTCCCTTTGGAGATAGAGCCACGACCATTCCCTCTGGAGGCAGAGCCGCGACTATTCCCTCTGGAGGCAGAGCCGCGACCATTCCCTCTGGAGGCAGAGCCGCGACCATTCCCTCTGGAGAGAGAGCCGCGACCATTTCTTCTGGAGGCAGAACCGCGACCATTCCACCCGGGAGGCAGAGCCGCGACCATTCCCTCTGGAGGCAGAGCCGTGACCATTCCACCCGGGAGGCAGAGCCGCGACCATTCCCTCTGGAGGCAGAGCCGCGACCATTCCCTCTGGAGGCAGAGCCGCGACCATTCCCTCTGGAGGCAGAGCCGCGACCATTCCCTCTGGAGGCAGAGCCGCGACCATTCCCTCTGGAGGCAGAGCCGCGACCATTCCTCTGGAGGCAGAGCCGCGACCATTCCACCCGGGAGGCAGAGCCGCGACCATTCCCTCTGGAGGCAGAGCCGCGACCATTCCACCCGGAGGCAGAGTCGCGACCATTCCGCCTGGAGGTAGAGCCGCGAGCATTCCACCCGGAGGCGGAGCCGCGACCATTCCGCCCGGAGGCTCGTCATTACGACGGCGACAAACTTTGACGAGTAGTGGCTCACGGCGGATTATTTTCTCATCTGCTCTCGCCCAATTTACCACTGTTTGTAAATGGGACTCCATTTGAGGAAAAGGTGAAAGTGGCTTCGCTTCTCTAATGGACTTCATAACTTGCCTCAGGTCGTTCACCGAGTGTGAACGCTGTAGCCAGGACGTGTCGGCGCCCTGAACAGCTGCTACGCAGTCACTGTGGGACTCCACTGCCGATTCGGCAGGGTTCGGAACATCCGTGGATAAGAATTCGTCTCTCATGCTTGCGATTAGTCACTAAATCCTGTTTAGCACAGTTAGGCTGTGCTTTTATTGGGACATTTATCAGGAACAGATTCATGGCAGCACGTCCCACTTATTCCTCCGTTAGTTACAAACCCCAAGCATGTCGGTACCCGCCTCAAAGCACACCAGAAAACACACTAAAGGATGACAGGGTGAATGAATAGGATCAAAATAGTACACACGGTAGCGACAAAGTCAAAGATGACTGAAATGCATAAGAACGGACACCTAGCAGATACCGCATTTTTCAGTAAGGCCAATGTGCCGGATATGATAATCACACCAGAAGTAAATGACATCATACAAAACGTACAAAACGTGAGAAAAGTGTAACAAAAAAGACGTGTAGCAAAATGTCTTACTGAGCGAAGGATGTCTATTTTAGGGATGTTTACACGTGTTTCACTCGCGAGCCTGTACTTTTGTGGGGTGAGGCGGACGAACCATTCGTTTCTCTTTATTTTGGAACTTTGACAAGATATGACTAGAATGATATGATCTTGCACGAGCTGAAAGGAGATCCTTACGGCAACATCCTGACGTAAACCCCAAGCGTATCGTGTCGCAGATCAGAAGTGATGTCTGTTGGCCGAAGAGAAAAACAAGGAAGAGGCGTTTGATTCGGATGGTTCCAGATGACTTATGATATAAACGCGGCTTTCTTGGTTTTACTCAACATTATATAGCCACACATGCAGTCTGTAAGTTTCTGCACGTCAAAATGCTGGCGGGTTTTAAAACACGCCTGTTCATGGGAGGCAATTGTACCTTTTATGCACCAACCTCGAGCTGTTCAACCATCCGCGTCGTGACGAGGCATTGATAACGCTTGTAGCAGGATCCGACTTTTTCAGCCAGCAGCTGCTGCAGCCTGGTTCATTGGCCACCCGACGTTCCCAAGACAAATTCGGCCATAGTTCGCCGTCGTAGCTCCGCCTGCCGGCCAGCGGTCGGCAGACAAGCTGCGAGCCAGTCCGGGCGCCGCCTCCCTCACCTTTGGCGTCGAGCGCAGTCAGTGTCCCGGCGAGTAGGCCACACGCGCAGAGCAACGCTGCGCCGGCATATCTGCTCATTCTGGCCCATGGCCCGCACCTCAGGAGGCGGGGGCGGGAGCCGGGACACACGCCGTCCACACACCAGCCATCCGCCGCGGCCGACGCACCGCCACTGACCGGGCCGGCCGGCGGCGACGGCGGCGCCGCGCGGCGGAGAGCGGACGAACTGACCGGCCGCCCTCTGCTGCGGGCTGGTCGGAGGCGCCGGCCGGCGTCCGCAGCAGCGGCGTCACCGGCCGGCTTCGGGCGCGGGCAGGGCGAAGGAGATCAGTTGTGGCTCTTAGCTGTCTAGAGATCAGAGGGACCTGACGCACGCATAGAGATGATGGCGTGCAACGCGCGTCACATCAGAAGCGCACCAGCTCTGGGCATTGTTGGTCATGATGCGGTGCCTTGTTGGTCATAATGTGGTGCCTTGTTGGTCATGATGCGGTGCCTTGTTGGTCATGATGTGGTGCCTTGTTGGTCATGATGTGGTGCCTTGTTGGTCATGATGTGGTGCCTTGTTGGTCATGATGCGGTGCCTTGTTGGTCATGATGCGGTGCCTTGCTGGTCCTGATTGTCCAGAAGAAACCCGTCACGTACAATGTCATCTCCTGGAGAAGTCTCATACTTGCATGGACACTGCGTGATACCGTGGAAGTCTGCTCATTGTGACACATGCCACCCACTCCTGACATATACGCAGCAAAGCCATATCAAAGAGTTCACTTGAATGATAACACAGATAACTAGGGAGAGCTGGAGGGGGGCGGGGGGGGGGGGGGCATTTACTGCGGAGTGTAACTAGGGCGTGATTTTACTGGCTACACCAACTGTCACCGGAGTCGAAGTGCTAAGTGCAAAAATCTTAAGCCTCTCAGTGAGTGACGAAGTGAGAGCCGACAGGGGAGGTGCACGTGCCCGTCTCTCAGTGAGTGCTGATGTGAGAGCCGACGGGTGCGGTGCACGTGCCCGTCTCTCAGTGAGTGCTGAAGTGAGAGCCGACGGGTGCGGTGCACATGTCCATCTCTCAGTGAGTGACGAAGTGAGAGCCGACGGGTGCGGTGCACGTGCCCGTCTCTCAGTGAGTGCTGAAGTGAGAGCCGACGGGTGCGGTGCACGTGTCCATCTCTCAGTGAGTGCTGAAGTGAGAGCCGACGGGTGCGGTGCACGTGCCCGTCTCTCAGTGAGTGCTGAAGTGAGAGCCGACGGGTGCGGTGCACGTGCCCATCTCTCAATGCGTACTGAAGTGAGAGCCGACGGGTGCGGTGCACGTGCCCGTCTCTCAGTGAGTGCTGAAGTGAGAGCCGACGGGTGCGGTGCACGTGCCCATCTCTCAGTGAGCGCTGAAGTGAGAGCCGACGGGTGCGGTGCACGTGCCCATCTCTCAGTGAGTGCTGAAGTGAGAGCCGACGGGTGCGGTGCACGTGTCCATCTCTCAGTGAGTGCTGATGTGAGAGCCGACGGGTGCGGCGCACGTGTCCATCTCTCAGTGAGTGCTGAAGTGAGAGCCGACGGGTGCGGTGCACGTGCCCATCTCTCAGTGAGTGCTGAAGTGAGAGCCGACGGGTGCGGTGCACGTGTCCATCTCTCAGTGAGTGCTGATGTGAGAGCCGACGGGTGCGGTGCACGTGCCCGTCTCTCAGTGAGTGCTGAAGTGAGAGCCGACGGGTGCGGTGCACGTGTCCATCTCTCAGTGAGTGACGAAGTGAGAGCCGACGGGTTCGGTGCACACCCCCGTCTCAATCAGTGAAGCCGACGTTCGCGAAAAAGGTTGATTAAAGCGTAGCTGTTTTGTTGACTTTTTTCTGGTTTGCTGTCAGAAAGCAAAAGTAATTCAAACATCACTGTCGATAAAGCCAATGACAATTAGTTTTCAAGGGCCTGCAGCAATGCGGTTATTGCGTTATGCGATAGCACCGGCAGCGATGGAGCATTTTAACACGCGGTAGGGTGGCGGTGGGGGTCAAATTGACCCCTCCGAAGGTTTGTTTTTCCAGAGTGGTTTCCGAACGACGCGGTGCAGCCACGCCAAGTTTTGCATAGCTGTAGATAACTAAATAACGGATTGCTTAGTATCAAAATTTGGACGCAACTTGTAAGGTCGCCGAACTATAACAGGTCAAAGTCAGGCCATGGTTTCAGCGATGTCAATTTCTAGGGAATCGTTCAATCTGATACAACAATGGAGGGTTAAACGAAGCCATACATATCTGAGATGCTTTCTCAGGCAACACAAATATTTAATGAGAAAATAAAGTTGACCTAGGGTCAGGTATGAAGGCTAGACCAAGGCCAAAACCAACCTGTTTTACCACTCTAGGGCCTGCTGTGTGGGATAGCTTTTGGTGCTCATTCTGAATTTATCGATAGCGGGAACCGCATTATACATCTTCCATAGGCTTCTTATAGGTCATAATGGGTCATTGACCTAAAACGACCCAGGTCAACATTTTGTTTTTAGGAACATGCTGCCTACCGTAATCTTTGTCGCTCATTCCAATGCAAAACTCAGAGAAGTCTCATATGCTTTTGGTCATCATGGCCTTCAAAAGGTCAAAAGAGGTCACTGACCTTAAATGAGCATGCGACTTTTGCTTTGAAACAGCAATCTGAGTTCTGGGGCATTTTAGAGACCACCCTGGAATTTGACCTTGTTTGACCTAATTTGACCCGAAGGTCACGACCTAGGAACCTCAAACTTTGAACTAAGTGAGTTTAGGTACAGATAAATACACTGTAGATTTGGTGTTTCTAGCTTCTGAGTTCCCGAGATCTCAGGGGGTCGAACTGACCCCCCGGACGAAAGGTTCTAGCCGGCCACCCGGTATTAAAAAGCAGATCTGACGCGATCTTGAATCCGTCTCTTTCCATGAACCTATCTATGCACTAAATAGAAAATGCCCATGGCTTTAATTTGTAAACCGGTGTTACAGGTAGCACGAATTGCAAGGGGGTTTTCCCACTGTCATCCATCCAACCCACAATTTGTGAATGTCTCAATGAATTATTTTCACAATTGTTTTACATGAGGTGCCATTTTGCAATCTGTTCCCCTTTCTCGGTCTTCGTTCCGGGGGATCCTGCTTGGTGTGAAAACAGCATGTAATTATATTCATATCTCTCATGTGGCCGTTGGTAGCAAAAGGAAACGCCGCCGGCACAGGGTGGTTGTTGTGAGCGAGTGGTTACAGGGTGCAGTTCAGAATCTGGATCGTCTGATCGTCACTGATGGAAACCTAGCCAGAATCATACTTCGGAACCAATCTTCTCTTATTGCTGAAGCCGTTTCTCTTACACATCACATGATATTAAAACAATGCAAAGGCTATGGACGAAAATGTAATTTTACATCAATATATATATATATATATATATATATATATATATATATATATATATGTGTGTGTGTGTGTGTGTGTGTGTGCATGCATGTATATGTATTCAAATCAACGCAGGCCAATGACACTGGTCAGCTCAACTGGGTGAGCAAAGGCCCACCCATTGACAAAGCCTTGCCTTGCGTTCTTCCGAGCCTTGGAAAGGCTGGGAAGAAAGTGGGGCTGCTCAGATGTAAAACAAAATGGGACACATTTTCCTATGTGTGACGAAGAGACCCTCTTCGAAAGAAATGTCGGCGTACATATAAAAAAGCGGACGGTAAGAATGCACTTTTTAGGAGACCGAAAGGTTTCCAGGAGCTTCATAAGAAGGGCAGAGTATTGGTCGCGGCTCCGGCTCGCGCCATGTTCGGCCTGAAATATGGCAGTCCGTGCAAAAACACACCTCCGTTCGTTTACCAGCGCGCATTAAACTCCACAATTAACGACGAGGAATACTGCGGAAACGTCTCTTCGACCTCGCACGTCGGAAAGGCACCGCGTGTAGGTGTAGGTGCGCACAACCTAGTCCGGTTGTTAGGTTTTGAGGGAACGTCAACTGCATGGGCTATTGGCGCCTCACACCCAAGTGTATACGCTAATTCATCATTAATCCTTCAGCTGGTCGCGTAATGCATTGTCTATATTCTGAGTGATCAATACGTATGATACCTCCAGTAGGACTTGCCGACAATAAAATTTTCAAACTTCAAATTATTCAATGTTTTTCCTCAATCTAACCCACATCTGGGGTGCTGAGAAAATCCCGTGGCTCGGAGAAAAATGTAAAATTTTCACGATTTTCAAACTTTCCCCAAAACAGTGTATGGCAACAATGTCTCAGACAGACGCAAAAATATGCCATTTTTTAATGACAAAATTTGCTCTTGAGACTAGCCATAACATCCATTCAGGATCAATGAACGAATCAATATCATCATGAAGTCAAAATATACCGGCATCAACTTCGGAGCAGGAAACAATGTTTTTATACTGGCAGATAGGATTATAATGACAATTGGGATCATACCGGTGGTTGTAATTTGCTCTTGTGGTGTAGGTTTGCTACATCGTACAGCGATTACCATATTATTGTAGAGGATAATGCTACCACAAGGTGTACGATTATCCTAGTCGTTTTTATTAATAAGCATCTATTACACTTCTTATCATCTTCGATTCCCAGATAAGAATACATTTTCCCGACTTCATGGTGTAATCGTTTGATTAAATAAGGAAAATGGTGGTGTTTTCGGCGCCGAATCGTAAAAATAAAAAAGGTGTGAATATTCTTCTCAGTATAATCACGAACGCCATCCAAAGCATGACATGATAACGACATGAAATAATAATAAATGCCAACAGCAAGACGCTGAGATGTCAAACCTTCATTAGCTGAGATGGTGGAACGTTTCGACATGACTTTCAAAGGCCCGCGGTCCCCTTCCCTGATTTGTGGTTCACATTTTCAGCTTCTGGAAGATGAACATAATCAGCCGCCTACAGCGCGACTGCAAAGTGCGCTCCGGCATCTTTGGAATATGGAGATAAACAACATAAGCCCTATGTTTTCGTCCGGCTCTCCGACTTCACGTCACGGCTCACAACGCACGAAATAACGCTACCTGACGAACAGGAGGACGACCGCCCAATCCCGCACTGCAGTGATGCTGATTTGGCGGGGTATCATGCGTACGGGACGACCAGTTTCAAATGATATTAGTTTAGGGTGGGGC